CACATGGGGCTACGCAGAACCACTGGGAGCACAGCCCTGGCTCTCCCCTGCCTCCCACCATCTGACTGGGCTGCTGCTTCAAAATTCAAAACGTTTTGAAACTTTCGAAACATTTTGACTGGCCTTGTTTCATTTCGAAGCTGTTTTGAAGCCCTCTGTTTCATTTTGATTTCTCTGTTCTGAGCTTGAAACGAGTTGAAACAGAATCGAAACAGAACAGCAGGGGAAGTTTCACACAGTAGTCCTAGTTGCCTGCTATGTTCAGTGACACAGGAGGAATGAAGAACAATACAAATCTCCATAATAATTCCTACATTCTTTTACTCACTCCCACTGTAGCCACTGCATTTGTGACAATGCACCATGTATTCCTTGGAATGCATCCCATGGACTTCTTGCCTGAGTATAGTTGAAGGCCTAGCCAGTTAACCACCACTCCCTTGTTGGTGCAAAGGTGTTGAACTGGGCCTTTAACTCTTCCCCACTACTGTTTTTCTGTTGTCAGCAGAAGCTTTGCTGGTTAGGCCTTAATAGATAAGGAGTAGTCTCTTGACCACCTACTGGTGTTCCCCTTTCCATGAACTGGCAGCTCCCGGCCTAGGTGGCAATGATTCCTGGCTAGGCTGAATGCTCTCTCAAGGCTAACATCTATTCAGCTGCTCAGGGGCCTAATCACAGAGCTCTTCCACTTTTAAGTGACAGGAGCCCCTAGGCTTCCTGTCATAGAGACCAAAAGTGGTGCTTTGTATTTAAATATTTAACATCTTACCCAGTGCATCTGAGTTGATGGGCTTAATTAACTTAATTTTAATTTAATTCATTAAGGATCCTGGCTAAATGCCATGCTCCCGAAAACAACATAACACACATACGACCATAATATAAATAAGTTCGAACAAGTAACTGAACTACAAATATTATACTAAAAATAGAGCCCACCAACTTAAAAACAGTATGACTTGATGGGCTATGTCTTCACCTAGTGTGAATGGTGGAGCTCTACAGTCTTCAAAACTGTAGATGCCTATTCAAATCTAGGGTGACAATTTTTTTCAGAAGACAAAAGCAAGGCACCCTTGCCTGCTTGGCAGTAGTGTGGGTGGTGGCAGTGGCAGTGGTTGCAGCAGAGAGCTGTGTCCTGCACTGCTGCTAGGCAGGCAAGCAGGCAGAGGGCACTTCACCATGGCAGTGTGGCTGGCACAGGGCTTCTGGTGGCACTGGCAGCATCAAGCCTGCCTGCCTCGCTCTGCCCTCCCATACTTGGTCCTGCCTGCTAGGCCGTGGAGGCCCTGGAGGGAGGACACAAAGGTAGGAGCCCTGACCCTGCAGTGAATAGCCTGCATTAGTGCCTGCCCCACACAGAAATCTAGGGGGGGCATATGCCTCCCCATGCCACCCTTCCTGGGAGTGAGCACAGAGGCAAGGAGCCACCCCCCTGCCAGCCCCTGGATAAGCTGCCTGTGGCTCCATCCCACTTCCTGGCCAGACCCAGCAGCCATGCATTCTCATTCAGGCCCTCCGCCCTATCTACCACCCCAGCTGGGCAGCTTCCTCAGCCCCAGCCACCAACCCTGCCCCACTCCCTCCCTTGCCATGGGAGCCTCAATCTGCACCCCCCCACCCCCCGACTTATCTGCAGGCACCTGGGGGAGTTGCTTTCCACTGCTGCCTGGGGCAGTACTGCTGACCACATGCAAGTGTGTGTGCACATATGCACATGGTGCCCCCTGTGTCCTACTCCCTCCAGTGCCTAGCAGCCCCTTGCAAGCTGGAACTCTGCCAGCCTGTAAGGGGAAACCCACTATTTCCTGCATTTTGCTCCTTCAAAGGAGAAAATCTGTGGTTTTTCACAGCAAACAGAAAATCTGGATCCTTGCACATGATATTGGGACCATAATTGAGTGGGTCAAGGGGAATCTGGGACAAATACTATCCCAGAGTCATTCAGCCCAGGGCTGGCACTTGATGGGACTGTCCCACCCAATTAGAGATGGGTGGTCACCCTACTCAAGTTTCCAGTGGAGCCATTCTGATTTATACCGAGTAAGGAATATTTCCTTTTGCCTGCCTTCTCCTGAGAACTGAAAACCTCTCTCTTCTGTCATGGTCTCCCTCTCATGTTTCTTGAGTACAAGTATTTCTTACACAGTCCTTGTGTTAAGTATGATGCTTACTGACTAAAAAAAAGGTGAAAATATTTTATCTATTAAGCACCCTTTTTTCTGAGATCTTCTGATTTTTCCTCGAGTGCCTCTATGTTATCATCCACACCATCTGAAAATATAAGTAACACCTGTAGAAAGATTAAAGAAAAAGTTTAAAAGCATAAGAATAAAACAAGTAAATTAAAAAGAAAGAGAGAAAGAAAATTACTTTGAACCAAGTTACCGTTCTTCGATTATCAGATCTTTTTTGAAATGCTTTCCAAAGTGACTGCAAGAAGGCAACATTGAGAAAAGAGGGATTGGCAATCACAACATTTTTCAGGTTGTTGAGGATTATTTCAGGGTTAATTTCAAACTTGGAAGACACTGGACGGACTGTATTTTTCACTTGCAGTGCCACACTGCTCTGAGCTTTTGATCCTAGGTTGCAACTCACACCACTCAAGGATGTGAGGGTTTTTAGGATGTTGGGAAGGTTCTCTCTCAGCTTGGGCTGTCCATGAAAAAAATCATTGCCTTCTGTTTGTGATGTGATGTCAAATCCCACAACAATATCCACCAAACAACCTATAGAAAGTAAGTATGGGGGGAAAAAGTAGAAATTAGTTCCCAAGCCATTTTCTTTTTCAGAGCAGAAAAATGTTGGGGTGGCCAGTAGAGAGAAAAGAAAGAAAGAGAGGTAAAGAAAGAACTGCTGGTCAGAGCACTCAGTCAAGTTGTGACAGAACTAATGCCTTCAAGGCTCACAGCTAGACTAATGTGGATTTTTTTATGCCTCTATTTACCCAAGGACAAATTCATCTTTAAACACTTACCCAGCTTCTTGGGTGGCTTTTGAAGCCCCATGCTAACATGCCCACACTGATGCCAATATCTGAGCTAGTTGGTTTAAAGCTAGCTCATGTGTCCCTACACAAGCTTCAGGTTAATGAGAAGCTACCTTAGTATTATGAGAAAACAGCATCCCCAAATGGGAAATTAGGAGGAAAAAAGCAGGCAGGACATTTCTAAATGTGAAATAAATCATTCTTAATTACGGTAAATTTAACTCATATTGAAGGGAAC